TAGGGAAGTTTTTAATGTCTGACGCTGTATTGTTTTTAATATTCGGCTGGAAGCCACCCAGAGTGGCTGGGGAAACCCAGCCAGATGGGTGGAGTATAACTAATAAATCATCATCATCATCATCATGCTTCTGTAATCACAGGTTCTGTCTTTATCATGGAAAGTCCCACATTAAGAGATCTCTATACTGTACTTTTGTATCTCTAGGGTGCCTCATCCCCCCACCCCCATAGAGATTCAACTCCCAATTAAGACCTCTATAAAGTCCCTAACTCTATGGTACTCCATAGTCCCTCCCACCCTGACGCTCACCCAATTGCCATTCTTCCCTTCCCACTCTGCTTCAAGGGTAAGGAAGTGGATGTTGCCATTGCTCCCCTGTGCTGAGTCCCCCTGCTGTAGAAGCCCCCAACAATGTCTCCTGCTGACTCTGTCCTCCTCCTCCAGCCACCCTGTCCCAATTTTCTTTGCCCAAAGGTTGGAAGGTATGACATTAGCTCTAGCGCCATCTACTGTTGGCCTCCTAGCCTTCCACCTTGCTGGTCCCTATGAGCATTGCACTCCCAGAAGCTGAAGAGATCATGGTAGCCTCCTGGTGTTCGTCCTTCTAGCTTTTGTTTGAGTTAAGAATCCACCAAGGAATGCTTCATGCAGCATAGCCCCAGACATATCTATAAAAACAACCTTCCCCTCATCCTTGTGCAGGACTTTATCCAGGGAGGATGAAATTTGATAGAAAATAGCCTTTGGACTCCTTTCAAGGTTGCTACGCTGAAGCAAACCTCTGTATGGTCCTTGGAAGGTTGCTGATCTCTCTGGTTCTTTGTATCTCCCTCTCTCCGACTTTAATGAACACCAATAAAATGTGAGCTTTTATGACCCTTTCAGTCTGGAGTTGTCAGCTTTGCCAATTTGCTGTCTGTAAATCCACAGGAATATCAAAAGTGGCAGCTTTGGTAACACATTGACAATGGTGTCAACACCCTCCATCTTGCACAGAGCTATGAAATGCAATGGAGAGTGATTAGACACATCCAGTGCAGGAATCAATCATTTTAATAAGAGGAGGGCCCTGAATTGTACTTTATCTGCAAGAGTTGCCAGTTGGAGATGGGGCTGGCTCTCTTCCCTGCGAAGGCTCCAACCTGGCAGCTGGAACTGGAGGTGCTGTTTCAGAATCCAGACTGCACAGCACAGGTGGCCGCTGATATAGAGAAGCAGAAGTCCAAACAAACCTAATCCACCATGAATTCACTGCATCACCTTTGGCAAGCCACTTGGATGTAGTCTGCCTTGCAGGGGTATTGTAAATTCTAATTGAAATAAAGATATGCAATTGTTTTAACTGGTGTGGCCACACCTGTCCTCTGGAACTCCCTGCCTACTGATATTAGGCACATGCCTTCATTGCATGTTTCTGGTGCCTGCTAAAGCCCTTTTTGTGTAGGTGAGCCTTCGCAGATATGCAATTTTGTTACACACATTTGTTTTTAAAATCTGTTGTCTTCATCTATATTAACTGTTCTTAATTAAAATGTTTTATTCTTTTATGTAAACTGCTGAATAATAATAATAATAATAATAATTTATATACTGCCCTATACCCAGGTGTCTCACAGAATAAAATCAGGATATAAAACCACAAAATATATAATAAAAATAAAAACAACAACAACAACCCAATAGCCCTCCCCCCCCAACATAAAACACATTTTAAAAGGGCATAGGATGTAAATCAGATCAACCTAAGGCCTGGTTAAAAACGAACATTTTTGCCTGGAGCCTAAAGGTATGTAATGAAGGCACCAGGCGAACCTCCCTGGGGAGAGCATTCCACAGATGGGGAGCCACTGCAGAGAAGGCCCCGTTCTCGTGATGCCACCCTCCAGACCTCTCGAGGAGGAGGCACATGAAGGAGGACATCATAAGATGATTACAGGGTCTGGGCAGGTTCATATGAATGAATTGGCAGCAGTAGCAGCAGCTAGTAAACAGTGTATAAATATTGCTAAATAAATAAATGGTGCTTGTTATTATTTTAAGGAAATATAATTATAGCCACTGTTGAGGGCTTTTCCTCCATTTGGGTTCTGGGGGATGGGTGGGTACATTTGTGCCCAATCCCACCTTACACTGAATTCTTCAGTTTCTTCATTCATGTGTATGGCAAGCTATCCCTTCCATCCTGTGGGGCATTTAAAGGTAACTTCTTAGTGTGAACCAGGAAGCGACCTATCCAGAACCACTGAGATTTTTCTTTCTGTACTGTTTCTCTGTTCTCCTGTTTCATCTACTCTATTCCATTGAATTATTATAGGTCTAGTTTGCTGGACAGGGGCATGCATATTTGTGGTACGATAAGGTAAAAGCACATAAAGCGTTTAAAAATCATATTGTTAGAAAAGCATTGTTTAATGTTTGGATAAGATATAAAGATTTGTTAGAAAAGAAAACCCCAAAATGGTTGTCACCAATGGAAGCGAAGGCACAGAAAAACTCAATATGGAGGCCAAATGGCCGAAATATTGGGAAATTCTGGAACAAGATGGAGACAGAATAAAATTGCAGAGCTTTGAAAAATTGAAAAATAAAGTGCGAGATTGGCTCCATTATTACCAAATAATGGAGGCATACAATTTGGACAAAAAAGTTGGTTTCCAGGTGGAAAAATCAAAATTGGAAACAGAACCGCTAGATCCAAAAATCAAGAATTTGTCAAGAATGTATAACTTGCTGTTGAAATGGAACACAGGTGAAATCAGCTATGATTAAATGGGCACAAGATGTTGGACATAATATAATGATGGCCGACTGGGAACAGTTATGGACCACAGGTATGAAATTCACGGCATGTAATGCCCTAAGAGAAAATTTAATGAAATTGATTTATAGGTGGTACATGACAGCAGTCAAGCTTGCAAAAATTTACCATTTGCCCGACAATAAATGTTGGAAATGTAATGAGACTGAAAGTACATTCTTTCACCTTTGGTGGACATGCCCAAGGATTAAGACATTCTGGGAGATGAAAAAGGTATTTAAATATACCTTCCTGAAGAAACCAGAGGCCTTTCTCCTGGGCATGGTCGGCCAATTGGTGCCAAAGAAGGATAGAACTTTTTTTATGTATGCAACAACAGCAGCAAGAATACTCATCGCGAAGTATTGGAAGACACAAGATTTACCCACCCGGGAAGAATGGCAGATGAAGTTGATGGACTATATGGAACTGGCGGAAATGACTGGCAGAATCCGAGACCAGGGAGAAGAGTTGGTAAAAGAAGACTGGAAAAAGTTTAAAGACTATTTACAGAAATACTGTAAAATTAATGAATGTTAGAAAAATGTTGGAATGAAGTTATATGGCTTTAGTAGAAATGTTATAAGGAATTAAGTATAAATAGATTAATAGAGTATTAAAGGAAAAAATAAGGTTAAGATAATTATAGGATAGAAAACAGAGGAAGATGGAAAGGAATTGCTGAAACAATTAACAGAAGTGGAATACAAAAAGGGAGGTGTGAGGAGGTCGTGGAAATACGTGAATGAAAGATAAGATATTGAAATTGTTTGATGTACTTTAAACTGTTTTTGTTTTGTTTTGTTAGTTTAATGTGTTTAATGTGTTAGTGTTATGTAGTGTTTTTGTATTGTATTGTATTGTTTTTGTAGTGTTTAAATTGTTGGAAAAGTAATAAATATTATTTTCAAAAAAGTAATAATAGTTTGCTGGACAGGATGAGCCACTGGTTTAATCCAGCAGGATCCTCATGTGTCCTTATGGTGTCCTTTTCATTGCACAGCGATGGCAAGTTGTGCTGGTAATATGATCAGGGCGGTGATATGCAATCATGTTTTCAATACTGTTTGTGCCTGCAAAAGTTTTCGTGGGTAACCACAATGCTTCATTTCCAGTTGGTGCATATCACACAACTTCTTGCTGAAATCCTCCCCCCCCTTTTTTATCAAAAATGTTCTGCTTTATTTTTATCCTACTTTTGATGTGTTATAGCCCCATTTCTTCCCCTTCTATTTGCCAGGAGGCCACTGCTCCCATCACCTCCTGGCAAATAGAAGGGGAAGAAATGGAGGCAGTGAGAGATTTTGCTTTCTTGGGCTCCATGATCACTGCAGATGGTGACAGCACTCACAAAATTAAAAGACACCTGCTTCTTGGGAGAAAAACAATGACAAACCTAGACAGCATCTTAAAAAGCAGAGATATCACCTTGCCAACAAAGGCCCGTATAGTTAAAGCTATGGTTTTCCCAGTAGTGATGTATGGAAATGAGAGCTGGACCATAAAGAAGGCTGATCGCCGAAGAATTGATGCTTTTGAATTATAGTGCTGGAGGAGACTCTTGAGAGTCCCATGGACTGAAAGAAGATCAAACCTCTCCATTCTGAAGGAAATCAGCCATGAGTGCTCACGGGAAGGACAGATCCTGAAGCTGAGACTCCAATACTTTGGCCACCTCATGAGAAGAGAAGACTCCCTGGAAAAGACCCTGATGTTGGGAAAGACTGAGGGCACAAGGAGAAGGGGACGACAGAGGACGAGATGGTTGGACAGTGTTCTCAAAGCTACCAGCATGAGTTTGACCAAACTGTGGGAGGCAGTGGAAGACAGGAGTGCCTGGTGTACTCTGGTCCATGGGGTCACAAAGAGTCGGACATGACTAAACGACTAAACAACAACAACAAGCCCCTTTGGCCAGTAACAATGTTGTCACGTTGAGGAAGCATCACAGAACAAACTAAAGCAGAATAAATCCACTGCTTATCCACTATTATCATGCAAAGAACATGTTGCAAGGTACGCTCACAATAAAACACCAGTCTAGAGGGGGCCCCCAGGCCCTCCATTATTCCTCTGCAGCCACAGTGTCACCTGCTCAATACCTGATGTCGTATGACATCAGCTGTGGGACATGGAATCATAGAGTTGAAAAGGACCACATGGGTCATCCAGCCCAACCCCTGCAATGCAGGAATCTTTTTGCCCAACGTGGGGCTCAAACACACAGCCCTCAGATTCAGAGTCTCATGCTCTTACTGACTGAACTATTCCTGGAAGCAGGGGTGACAACTTGAATAAAGTTATAGAGGAAAACAACAACAACAAACCTATGGTTACGTGAAACATACTCAAGATGTAACCAGCTGTATTTTTGAATAACCACTACTATGCTATAAGATCCACTATCCTGTAATATTACATATGAGCCTGTTCTACTGATGAGGCCTAGGATGGCGAAACAAGGCTAATATTCTGGAAATCCTTGTCTTAGACTCTGTGAAAGGATTCTGTGGAACTGTAACAACCCTTCATGTGGATTATTGGACTCTTTGAACAGATAGGTGGAATAGATACTTGTTCCGCCTGGCCTTTGGCTTGGAATCAACTTGATCCCCTCCCCCTCTTTCCTTTTTCCTTTCTGCTTCTGTGATGGAACTTCTATTTGGGGACTTCCCTGGCTTTTTTATGGCCCATGAAGGACCAGTCTGGATAGTTGGCCTTGGTGAAGATTTGATGTTTTCATCCCCAAAAAGTTTTTGATTTGAGTTTCTACTGAAATGAGGCTGCATTTTAATGTTGTATTTTAATTTTGTTTTTAAGTTGAATTTTAGTCTATTGTTCTTATACCTGGTGTTAGCCACCCTGAGCCCAGTCTTGGCTTGGGAGGGTGGGGTATAAATAAAATTTATTATTATTATTATTATTATTATTATACATGTATGGACCTTATGCATGAACTGACTAGAGAATGAACTGATCCACTGGGTCTTCTGCTTTTTTTGTTGAACTTTATGAGACTTCTGTTGAAATCTACAATTTGATACAATGAATAGTACAGTGGTACCTTGGGTTACGTACGCTTCAGGTTACATACGCTTCAGGTTACAGACTCCGCTAACCCAGAAATAGTACCTTGGGTTAAGAACTTTGCTTCAGGATGAGAACAGAAATTGCATGATGGCAGCACAGTGGCAGGAGGAGGCCCCATTAATTAAGAACAGTTTCAGATTAAGAACAGACCTCCAGAACGAATTAAGTTCTTAACCTGAGGTACCACTGTATACCTTATTTATTCAAAAGTACAGCCAGTTATGTCTTGTGTGTTTATTGATTATAAAATATTAGAGGGGCAAGTAAGCTGCACCCTGCATAATTGATCACATGATACAGTGCATGCACACCATTTGAATGGCAATGTCCACCAACTTAGAAGAGCAGCCCCCTCAAATATTTTATGGGGGGGGGGAGACAAAGACCCCTTGAAGCCCCTAGGAGTTGGCTCCATTGCTTGGAGGAGAAAATCCTCATGAACCAAATTAGGATCCTGGTTGGCCTAACCTGACCAGAGGTTCCCCATCCCTGGTCTAACTGAGCTCCTCAGATTTATTGGATGGCTTCCCTAAGGGATGAATCCTCAAAAAATTATTTGAACCTTGCTGTAACCAAAAATGTTGGCCCCATACCTACTCCTGAATTCTCCACTCACCCCACCCATTCCTCAGGATCCAAATAAAACCTAAAAAATAACAAGTTATGTAGGAGATAATACGTGAAATGGTATGCCTCTAAAATGTAATCATGCACAAATTTATAAACATGTTCATTTATTTATTTTAGCTCATTTTTTATATAAAAAAGTCAGTTTTCTGGGCAGAAAACTGAATAATACAACAAATGTTGATGTGATTTCATCTATCAAAGATGGATAAAATTATATCTCTATACTTATACATATGTTAGGCTCATATCCAATCAATGAATGCACAGAAACAAACTGGTTCCTTCCAACACTTTACTGTTTGTTCAACCTGTGGTCTTCCTTTGATTTGCAACATTAATCCCAATCAGTTCCTTCTGTGTCATCCAGAAAAAGCTGGCACATGCAAATTTTGCATAATGTAGCAGATCTAAACATTAAAATGAGGCAGGAATAACATTTGGAATAAGCCAACATTCCTGGAATGTCCTTCACTCCTCCCCTGCCTCTGTTCCATTCACGTGTGCCTTCATTTTGAAAAGTATCTCTATCTACAGTGTGAAAAAGTTCCATCCACTTCACCAGCTGATATCTGTGGGATGTAATCCATTGGAGCAGTCAAATACAACATTCCTTATTTCCCTAGAGTGGACACAGGCGGGGTGTGTGTGTGTTATGCCAGTCAGTGTAACTTCCTGTTCCACTGGTCTGGAGCGTCCTCTCCCTGCATGTGATCTGGGAGATGGGCATGATCCTGGCTGACTCCATAAAAGAGCCGAGTCAAGCAGCCATTTCCTCTCTCTTGATCTCTCTCTTGATCTCCTCTTTTGCTTGCTGCTTTCTCGTGAACTGAAATGTGAGTAAACTTCTTGTTACTTTTAAGGAAATAATCCTGTGTCTTTACAGTGGTACCTCTGGTTGTGAATGGGATCCATTCTGGAGGCCCGTTCGCAACATGAAAAGAACGCAACCAGCAGCGGCGTGTCTGCGCATGCAATTTGCCACTTCTCCACATGCGTGAACCGTCATTTTGTGTGTCTGCGCATGCGCGAGCGGGGAAACCTGGAAAGCCACTTCCGAGCTTGGGAGGAGGTGGGGTTGCGGGCTTCACGCCCACCCCACGTGCGCAGGGGCTGTCCCCAGCCCTGCGAGAACAAGGGAATCCTCGGCCACGTCATCCACCCAGCCAGCCAATCGGCTGGCTGAGGGAGGAGGCGTGGTCTCCCCTATTTAGGGCCGGCGCGGCCGAGGCTCCCTCCTCTTTTCACTGGACTCCCCCTACTGGTGATTAACCCTTGCCGGTCTTCATGCAATTGGGCTGAAGCCGGCTAGTCGATAGGACCAATGCCTAAGCCAATACCGCTCATTCCTGTAATCAATAAAGTTGTGGCCTAATTCGCCCATTTAACCTTAATTCTTGATGTCCTGTGTCTTTATTTCTCCCGGAGGGGAGGCGGGAACTCACCACGCAAGTAACCCTTTCCAGTACTTCCGGGTTGCCGCGGGATGTAACCTGAAAGAACGTAACATGAAGCGGACGTAACATGAGGTATGACTATTCTTTTAAGAGGGATAAAAGGGGACATCAGGAATAATCCATCTGGACAAGCCATCTTGGATTACTTAACTAAAGAGATTCAAACGAATCTGCAAACTAGCTTCCTGCTATATTGAGGGGAATATGCTCTGCTACATCACTCACTAGCGTGAGTGAAGGAAGGATAATACTTATTTAACATATCCTTTCCTACTATCCTTAACATTCCCACAATATCTGCACTACATATTACATGTGTGGCTTACAGCCTCATCAGGGGATTTTTAAAAAAAAAACATTTTTAAACCTAGACGCAGGTGCTCTCTCCCCTCCCCCTTTGTTCAATTTATGAGTCACCTAATAAAAAAATATCCTCTAGGCAACTTTCACAGTGAAATCAACAGATTTAAAACGTACCATACAACAACTCAATAAAGCCATAAATCAATCAAACCAACCCAGCAATAGTGCAACAATAAAACCGAGGCATAAAAATCCAATATAGACAGACACAAATCAAGACCCTGGCAACCGATTGAACAAAACTCAGCTCAGCTACAAAAGGTAATGCTGGTCAAATTGCTACTATTCAGCAAATGATGAAGTGAAATAATATCAGGGATGTTAAAAGATGTTAGAGATGTTAAAAGATCTTAAGAGGCCTTTGAGATTTTTCCTTCTTCCAGATATTTGCTGAGTGCTAAAAGGAAATCAAGGAAGGTGCCTGACAAGCCTTTTTAATCAGAATATTGCATGGACAAGGGGCTATTCTCCCACAAAGTAGGGGGAATTTGGGGATTCAGAACACAACGAGCACCCAGATGGGTTGAAGACTAAAGGTTTAGATATTTGATAAAACATTGCAATTATGCTCACATCCCTGTTGTTGCTGGGAACCCCATCAGCCACAGAAGCGAGAAGGAATTTTTGGGGATGTCCTTGACTGCCCTTTGGGGCTCCCACACTTTTTACCTAATCTTTTTACCTGGACTTCCTCTGCAGGCTCTGGCAGATGAGACCAACTGCGTGCTCAATGGTCAGTAATGTGGTTTCTGCTAGTGCTGTAGAATGAACTGAGGAACAGATGGGGCTTGGCAACCTGGGAAGGTAGCCCATCAAGGAGAAGGGGAACTCTGGTCCTAAATCTCTGCTGCCTTGTGGGATATCTTTGGGGGAAGAAAAGGCTAAGGAGTAAAGCCTACACAAATCCAGAGTGTTGTCCCTAAGTCAGTTGGATGGTGCTGTATATGCCCCCTTCAGGCAACTCCAGCAGCCAAGCTGGTGCCAAATGTATTGCTCTGCTTTCCTTTGGACCACACCAGCATGGCCAAGAAGAGGGTATTGCCATCTTGGCAGGACCTCCATACACATTGCCCAGGCTTACACTTGGGGAGCAGTGGTGGAGGAACCCTCTCCAGCACCCAGGGCAGGATGCCAAGGGACGGGGCAAACCCCCCGGCAGTGCACACGCAGTATCCATATGGACTGCGCATGCGCGGCATCTTGTACGGACTGCACATGCGTGGCAGCCCGTACGGTCGCTGTGTGAGACGCAGCCTGTATGGATGATGCGTGAGCGGCAACCCGCGCGGTGCCCATACTGACTGCGCGCGCGCCCTCGGCCGCTCTACAGCTGGGGGGAGGCAAAGGGCCATCTTGAGGACATGGCCTCAGGCGGTACGATCCACAGGGACAGCAGATCCCGATATATAGTCATACCTCGGGTTAAATACGCTTCGAGTTGACCGCATTCGAGTTGCGCTCTTCGACAACCTGGAAGTAACGGAGCGCGTTACTTCCGGGTTTTGCCTCTTGCGCAGACGCTCAAAATGACGTCACACGCATGCGCAGAAGCGGCGAAAAGCGACGTGTGTGTGTGCAGACGTGCCGTCGCTAGTTACGTTTACCTCTAGATGTGAACGGGGCTCCGGAACAGATCCCATTCGTATCTAGAGGTACCACTGTAGATCTTTATTCCCACCTTGTTCCTGATGTAGGTCATCATTCACCCCTTCTTCCCTAGCAGGGGGGAGTAGGGAGTGGG